AAAGAAGAGGAAGACAGGAAGACGATATTCACTAAAATTGTGATGAACAGACTCAACTAAAAATAGAACACAAGCAGCAGTGATAAAAATTGTTCACGTAACAGTTGAAAGCATTTTATCCCAAGCATGAAGTTTTGCTTGTTGATTAACATACATTTTCAAAGGCAACCATCACAATTTTCTGAACAATTATTTATATCATTATTGTTATCGGAGGTCTATAGAACTGAGAAAAATGATCTACAGTATTAATCTAATGTTGATGTTTAGAGAAGGCCTTAGCTCTGTAAGGAATAGATTCTCATCAATTTTGCAACGGTTGTTGAAAAAATTGAAACGGTTACTAATGAAATTGTGTGTTGCTCAGCAAACGAAACGTTAAGTTTAGGATGAAATGCGCTGGTGTACAATGTTTATCACCATTGTTTGTGTTATATCTTTATTCAAACTACGATGGCCTGAGAACTAGACTCAGCTAAGTAGCTTTAGCAGTTGTAAGTACATTATGTCTGATGAAATACAGAGTTTTCTCTGTAGAATGACAATATATTTGGGAAAGCAATACCCATTTGGAATTTATGGCTTGGTTATATGTTACATGTTTGCAGAAGGTCGGTTAGTATACGTACTGAAGTGTTGATCGCAATAAATTTGAGTTCAATTTGTACACTGATCAAATTAAATATATTCCGATGTACTGTAGAATTCCGGTCATAAGTCTTGAGTTTAAATAACTGTTTTGGGTAGGCGTATAAACGGGGAGGAGTGAGCTTATATCCGGGGGGCTTATAAGCGGTATAGAAAAAAGATTTCGAAGTGATCTGGCGAATCTAACATCCAGCAAAATTAAAAACATTTTATCTACTTGACACCAAGAACCACAAGGCTCAACTAAGGTAACAAATGCGCAAAGGGGAAATGTCATTGTATGGAGCCTTCTAATCGGATGGCAAATACTGTAGCTAGGGTAATAAAATAAGCCCTTTGACATTGGATAAAGTTGAAGCCTGGTAAATATTTCAGGATTTATCTACTCCAAAAACCAAAAAGGGTTTTATGAGAACACGAGAAGAGTTTGACTCTTCGTCCAAAATTTTAAATGATTTCTTGTACTAATAAACCATACAAATGCACCTACCTAGCACTTTAATTACTATAAAATTCCAATCATACAACGCCCTCGATCTCTGATTGGCCAGGGTGCTGTGCTCGTTCGATTTGAAATTACTCGCACGATTACTCGGCTAACGTGCACCTTCCAGTCACTCGCTATAAATGAAACGGGTAATTTTTGGAATTAGAAAATAATGGAATGGATCAGATCATCATTTCCTTGCGTGGATGTGATAAAGTTTCCGTTCACAAACGCGCATGTCATTTCATGAACTTGGCGATTTTGAAAGCGGCCGAGGGTCTGATAGAGATATCTAATTTTGAGTTCAGGCCCTTTAAAGAATGGAAGCAACACGTCTCCCTCAAATATTCAGACAGCCGATGACTATAGAAACTTATTAGAAACTAGATCATTGGATAATGCAATTCAAGAGTGTTCACTGGTTTAGCCATCATGGTATATGAGCCATTATACCATTCTCTACAAATATGGTAAGCGTACGAGTAATTTTTCGGGGTGTTTTCATTTTTATTTTATTTTAGTTTTCTTTATTTTGGGAGCGTTTTTAATAATACAATTATTTTACTCGCGCTTGTTAGATGTGAGATGATTATAGCCAACTCGGCGCGACGCCCCTCGTTACCTATCTATCATATCATGATATCCAACGCGCGCTCGTGGAATAATTGTTAAATAAGTATAAGAAAGAAAATGAACCGGTTATCGCCGGAAATATAAAGGCTATTTTTTTTATCAGTAACAACAGGATCAAAATTTTCGTTCCGAGAAGGCGGACGACTCGTCCGTTTGCGATAACAATTGTGATGCATGTCTGCTACATCTGTTAATGATAACGAAGGTCACACGAACAATATTGTCTATTGCTCGAGAGTATCCATATTGTCCATGCGCACTAATCAAAGTTGATTAACGTTTTAGTAAAATATATTTAAAACTGAACGCAAGGGTTTAAAATAAATGAAAACAATTCCTGCATTTACAGACTTAAATCAGCGTAATTAAGACATCTCAGTCGAGCTGAAGTGAAAGAGTAATCTCGATGGGTGGAATTCGAATATCGAGCCTTGTCTKGAGCCACCATTAATAGGCGTCGTTCACACTTGGTGRCCGGGCACTGTACCCGGGCACGGTGCCTGACGGGTACCAATGTGAACACAACGTTTTGTAAGTGCCCGAGCCAATAATTGGGCACGGTGCTCGGGCACGGGCACAAGGTGGAGACCTTGTACCCGGGCACTGAATCGGGCACGGGCACAAGTCTGGACACAGTGCCCGGGCACCAAGTGTGAACGACGCCTTAAGTCACACCAGTGTACAAGGAAGAACATTACGTGTGCAGAGAATCAAAGAACCTTTTTTTTTCTCGAGAGAGGACGGATTGATGAATCAACTTTTCAACAAACGAAATTTTAGCTATATATGAGACTAAAAGTCTTTCTATCTCAGTTCTACGAGAATGCGAAGGTGACCACTGGAAGTGGGATCCACACTACTCTACACACTATATGACGCCTTCATTTCGCGTCGAATTTTCCGTGTTGTGTTAGCTAAAGCTATCCAATTCTCAACTAACCCTACGCCTAAAACGGGCTAGGAACATTCATAATGACTGCCCAAGGTAGACAAAGAAGAGAGACTGATTTTCCTTCCTTAGGCGGGAACTGCATCTATACGTGTTCCGTCTAGAATATCACCTTTTCTGCCGTGTGCTGACTGAATTCTCCTCACATTCGTGGCCTGCTCGAGTCGACTCAAGAAAGTTTGACAAAATGAACACGGTAAGACAGCGACGACTAGTTGGTCCCTTGTCTTCTCGAGGCTTGGCCCTCTCCTTTTGCCAAGTTCTGTTAATTGTTACATGATTTCAAACGTTGTAAATCAACAGAAAATAGTGTAATCTCAGTACCGAGATTGATCTATCAATGTGTTTTAACGCGTCTATAAAACGTTATCTTAGTAAGGAAAACGCAGTCATTGAAACTGAACTTTTCACATTTTTTAAGCTGGCATTGAAGCCTGCTGCAAGTGATGTAAACAACCCGACAAGCCGAGCGAACAACAGTTCATTAATGCAGCGAAGCGAAGTGCAACCAAACCAGTGAAGTACTAAACACAACCTGAACTGTTAAAAGCTTATATCTTGTGGTTTACAAGTGACCAATCTTAATAGGGAATAGCTGGGAGATGACTTGCAATGGATTAAGTTTCCCCACCCGTCATCTCATGCCACAAGTTGAACCCTGAAATTATAATCTCTAGCTTTACGATTTTGTTAATTACAACATGACCAGAGGTAGTTGAAATTTTAGTGGTCAACTTTCTAAATTAAAAAACCTTGCTGTTAAATTTGGTTAACGAAAAACTGACAATGGGCGTTTCTTTTGTTAGAAACTGCGTTAGACTTTAATTTAGCTGGTATCAGTAAAAACACCGAATATTCTTGCCTGGGGAAAAGAGAGCGGGAATAAAATTTCGTTACAAACGGGTTTCAATATATCTCTCGAAATGAAATCAGATTTCAGACAAATAAAGTTACAGGAAACCGAGAAATAAGTGGAAAAACCAGCAGGTGGTCTGCGGGTAAAGATAACTGATCGTGCTAATGCTTAAAAGATATTTTCCACGGTGCTTGTGTGATCAGAAAGCGAAGCTATAAGTAACAATTTGAAGCAGCTATCGAAGACACTCGTGGTAAACCAATGTTGTTATTTATAGTACAACCCCTGAAAAACCATATTTCGTCTATCTGAGGTTATTCCAGGCCAGAATTAGAGAACCTCTGTTGAGAATCCTCCTAGACAATTGCACGGTTCTAATCTAGCACTTTAAAGTGTCTCAAGAGCGGCCGGGTACGGTAAGATCATTCCCTGACCTTAATTATAAGAGATAAAAAGGAATTACAAGCTAAGACAATTACCAAAATGACGTAGATCATTGAACGTGGCATACACCGATAACAAAGTTGTTTCCAGATCTTCTTTTCTGTTCTTTCTCTCGTTTGCTATTGGTTCTTTTGCTTGTACATGTATGACGTAGTAAGATGGATGGGTGAATTAATGTTTCAATCAGGGCCTGGTCAAAGTGCCCTCTTTTTACATATTCGCTGTCTGGCCAGCCTGATTGCTCCCTACGCTCTCCGGAAGCAACACAAAACAACAATACTGGACAAAATGAGCAAGGTAAAACTACATACAATAGATATTTTGTTATAGCTGACTCTCTTTTTGACTCAGAGATCGGTTTGGGACTGTCTCTATCGCTTTTGTCTACTGAAACTAGTAAAATGTTACCAGTATTCGTCCATTCATCCGACTAGAATTTAAATGTGTATCTTCGATGTTGTCTAAAAACGTGAGGTATACGCTTTCTTAATTAATTAGCCCGCGATTAACTTTTATAATTTTCCGACGTGACGCTGTCTTTAAAGAAACCTATTCAATTGATCAGAAGTGTTTTCTCAGTAATTACCTCAATTCACTCAATGACCGGGAAAAGTGCTGTAAAACTACTTTTTTGCGAAAAAAAAAAGTTTAAACGTAGCGAGTGCATTATCCGAAAAACGTGAAGTTTTAAAACCACCAAAGCCGTGTGAGCAATCCCTTTGTCGTCCGACGCCAGTTGCTATCCGTGGTAGGGGATATTTTCTTAATTTGAAATCATCTATTCTGATGAATTAGAAATATTTGGCGCAGCTGCCAATACTACCCTAAAACTAGTTGTCGCAGTGTTTGTCATTAGGTGCAAGTTAAGTACCTGCTGTTTCTGTGTGCTGTCTATTTGTCCAAAGCGAGAGGTTTAAACAGCTAAGAGGTTTGTCGTTATACTATTGGCTGAAACTTGTAGGTGGCAGTTGTATCAAATTACAATATTTTCGGGCGAAATTCGTCCTGAATAAAGTGCTTGAGTGATGAGGATAAGGATAATTTATTTAATGTCACATACACGGTGTTTGACAAGTTAAAAATACTACACATATCTATGTAATTAATTTGGTCGAGATTAAAAACAGTTAATAAATAAATATGGTCATTGAAATTGTAGGTACCGATTACATCAAGCGCAATTATTGCATTGGCAGCCGCTAAAATTGAGATTATTTAAATGACTACGAAAAGATGACACATAAGGTACATGCGTTCCTAGCAACTAATGGCAGCTGGTTCCAAATACAAGAAATAATATATATGTACGAGTTATGAAAAATCCACTATTACAAGAATTTTATGCTATACGTTTAGCCCACTACTTCTGGGATTGTAGGGTGTAACTTGGGGTTCGAATAAGTTAGCTATATAACATGAGTCATTCTCCTTAAAACATTTAAAGAATATTATCAGCGAGTGTTCCGATACGTCTGTTCTATACGTCTGTGTTCTAGGGTATTCATGTCCACCATCCTGAAAATTGAGTGATATCTATTCCTCGTGCCGGATTTTTGTGTCCAGATAGAGTAATTCCCTAACTGCTGCAGTGAGTTACTCCTGCTCTCTCAGTTTTACACTGACATTGAACGCTGAGTTAATTGTTGAAGTCGCAATCCAGAAATTGAAACTGACACTGGTTGTTAAAATATGTCAGTTCTTTTTCATATTTTTCCAGTTTGATTAAAATCATCGTTTTTGCAAAATGATCTCAATTAACCCTAATGATGAACTTACGGTTATCGATCTGACTGGTTCATTTAACGGACAAAAATATAACTTATAAATGTAACTACTTTTGTATTGAAAATGATCGAGACCAAAATTCACTGAATTAGGTTGACAAGTTGGGGCAAGTCTTATAAAGATAGTGCTGTTGATTTACATGCCGTTCAGTCAGTCTCATGATAAGGTAGGGAGTTGCATTTTATTCCAATACCCCTTCGCAAAATCCGGCCAAGGTTTAACCCTAAGATTTATCTTGTAAAGAAATATTCTACTCCTTCGGGCTTTATTAGTTTGCTATTGCGAGACATGCAAGCTTTCTGCCGTTCTGATGCCGTTATAGTTTTCCCCGGAGTTTATTGCAAAAGTGTAGCATTTTTTTGTGCCTTAGGCGGTTCAGTATGTTAAGTCTATAAATGGATGCAATAACTCCTGCAATAAATGTTTGGTTGACAAGCTTTATTTTATATACTCGCCACATCACTTACAAATATCAAAATAAAAAGAATTGTTGAGAAACGGTCTGGAAAATGGTCGTCCTCGGACATTTGCCTTATAAAAGCTCATATCTCTGAGGAAACTGATTGATCGATGCACTCTTACTTTCTCGCCTTCCAGATGCTCTTGAATGCTATAATGATTGGATGGCTGTTCGTCGTTACAAGTAAGTAAATTAATCTATTATATGAATTGGAAATGATCACAAGAGGGGTTGGGAGAATTCGAGGCAGTTATGCAAACCATGTCCATTTCCATTTATGATTTCTCGCAAATAATTCCAATCTCAACACACCTATCGACCAATGAACGCGCGCGTACTACCTTAAATATTTTGTAAATTAAATTCTGAATGTTGAATAATGAGATATATGTTAGTGAAAGATCCTTGTCGTTTATTTCGTCTGGTTTCGCCTAAGGATAGCAAAGATTTAAAAAAAAAATGAGAATTTACAAAAGCAGTTTGTAAAACTTTGAAATTGCACCGTGATATTCTAACACTGGGAGACGTGGAAGCCTCATGGTTAGTGTCCTCGACTCCTGATCGAGCGGTTCGGGATCGACCCCTGGCCGGGGACGTTGCGTTGCGTTCTTGGGCAAGACACTTTACTCACACAGTGCCTCTCTCCACTCACGTGTATAAATGGGTACCGACGAATTTGATGCTGGGGGTATAACCTTGCGATGGACTAGCATCCCATCCAGGGTGGAGTAGAAATACTCCTAGTTGCTTCATGCTACAGAAACTGGGATAATTAAGCTTCAGCCTGATTGGTCACTTGACTCGCGTGAAGACTTTATCTATTTCTAACACAAATAGCTTATTTATTAATTAGCGGTCAAAATCGCAAAGAAGATTTTTATCAATATGANGATGCAATAACTCCTGCAATAAATGTTTGGTTGACAAGCTTTATTTTATATACTCGCCACATCACTTACAAATATCAAAATAAAAAGAATTGTTGAGAAACGGTCTGGAAAATGGTCGTCCTCGGACATTTGCCTTATAAAAGCTCATATCTCTGAGGAAACTGATTGATCGATGCACTCTTACTTTCTCGCCTTCCAGATGCTCTTGAATGCTATAATGATTGCATGGCTGTTCGTCGTTACAAGTAAGTAAATTAATCTATTATATGAATTGGAAATGATCACAAGAGGGGTTGGGAGAATTCGAGGCAGTTGTGCAAACCATTTCCATTTCCATTTACGATTTCTCGCAAATAATTCCAATCTCAACACACCTATCGACCAATGAACGCGCGCGCACTACCTTAAATATTTTGTAAATTAAATTCTGAATGTTGAATAATGAGATATATGATAGTGAAAGATCCTTGTCGTTTATTTCGTCTGGTTTCGCCTAAGGATAGCAGAGATTTAAAAAAAAATGATAATTTACAAAAGCAGTTTGTAAAACTTTGAAATTGCACCGTGATATTCTAACACAGGGAGGCGTGGAAGCCTCATGGTTAGTGTCCTCGACTCCTGATCGAGCGGTCTGGGATCGACCCCTGGTCGGGGACGTTGCGTTGTGCTCTTGGGCAAGACACTTTACTCTCACAGTGCTTCTCTCCACACAGGTGTATAAATGGGTACCGACGAATTTGATGCTGGGGGTATAACCTTGCGATGGACTAGCATCCCACCCAGGGTGGAGTAGAAATACTCCTAGTTGCTTCATGCTATGAAACTGGGATAATTAAGCTTCAGCCTGATTGGTCACTTGACTCGCATGAAGACTTTATCTATTTCTAACACAAATAGCTTATTTATTAATTAGCGGTCAAAATCGCAAAGAAGATTTTTATCAATATGATTTTTCCACAGAGGCGGAATTCAAATGCCACAATAAGATAGACATGGTTATTCTGTTGGATAGTTCGGCCAGTCTTCCAGAAAAAGTGTTTGACGCAACGAAGACGTTTGCCTCCGATCTTGTGAAGCACTTCGACATTTCAAAGGACAAAGTAAAGATGGCTGTTGTATCTTTTAGTCAGTATGTCCACATACAAAGGAGATTCTGCGATGAACCAACTCAGGAATCTGTCTTGAAGGCCATAGATGGAACATGTTATGAAGGATCCTTCACTAGAATTGACTCCGCTCTTAATGTTGTTCACGACAAAATTTTCAAGAAGGAAGGAGGAGCAAGGTCTTGTGATAAAGGTAAGAGGAGGGAGGAGACGTTTTAACTTCACTTTATACGCTTGAGTGGAAGGCGCGGTGGCCTCATGCGGTGGCCTCGTCTCCGGATCGAGCGGTCCGGTTTCGAGCCCTGGCCGGGGAGATTGTGTTGTGTTCTTGGGCAAGACACTTTACTCTCACAGTGCCTCTCTCCACCCTGGTGTATAAATGGGTACTTGCAAGCTTAATGCTGGGGGTAACCCTGCGATGGACTAGCATCCCATCCAGGGGGGAGTAAAAATACTCCTAGTCGCTTCATGCTAGAGAAACCGGGATAATTAAGCTCCGGCCTGATGGGCTGCTTGGCTCGCATGCAGACGTTACACACTTTACCTTTATACGGTTGGAGAACTTAAAAGATATTGTGCCCAGAATCACGAGGCAAGGTTCACTATAAGAACGTATGCTTCACGTGTTAAAACTTCGTCATATTTAAACCTTGCTTCTTTGATCGATGCTGTAGCTCAGCGTCAGACCAGTGCGCGAAAAATTATGGGTATGACTTCTGTCGTGACTAGCGGTTTCCACTGAGGTTAACTTAACATGTCATGTAACTGTTCAACTGACATTTTTCAATGGTTTTCTAAAAATTGTAGGGGCAGTCAATAATTTATTTCAGGGACCCCTAATGCAGCCCTGACCACGCCTAATTTTTTCCCTCTCTGTTTTTCTTCGTAGATGTAAAGAAGGTTCTTGTGGCAATCACAGACGGGTTCAGTTCCCTCGGAATAGACTTTACAAAAAAGTTGGCAGACAATTTGAAGAAAACAGATGTCAAGGTATTCTCCGTGGGAACTTCTGATCGTGTTTACAAAGCTGAAGTGGACGAGCTATCCAGCGAGCCAAACAAAAGCCACGAACTTCTGAAAGATCTCGCCAAAGGCTCGTTTAGTAAAGATGAAGTAGAGAAGTTTGCGAAAGAAATCTGCAAGCACGAATAAACTTGAACTATGCACATGCATATTAAGTTTGCTTAATATGCATTAATTCTTCGCAAATTCCTTGGGACATTTAATCGTACCATGCCCATTCAATATTCCCCCCTGCAAAGCTGGCATTTTTGTTGTTCCAAATGATGAGAAACTGAATTTTATTTTGCCAATGACGAAAATATCATAAACAAAGGTTTCTGTGTAGCCGTATCAGTGTGGGAAATTTTTACTCAGCACAGCCACACTGTAGGACCTAAATTGAAAGTTGCAGCTTTGTGCAGTATAATTAACCTGTGTCAAATAAATGGCAATGCTGATGAGCAGCTTCCATCCCATTCTATTGCTTCAGTTGAAAGTTAGAATCACTTTGTACACACTAATCTACTATTCACGGCTGTGAAAGCCAGTTCAATAGCCCTTATCAGCAGCTTCTGCGGTTACTTCTTTGGTTACATAAAGGGCGCGGGCAAAAAAAATCGCTGCTCCCGGTTGAGACGAATAAAATTACAATTCCATCCGTTTGCGCAATGCTTACCTTACCTGATATTTTCAAAACTCTTGTTAAGAATTCCACCAGTGTTTCAGTCCAAGCTTTCAGAGTGGAATCGGATCTGAACACTCTTCAACTGCCATCATTACACCGCATCAAATCCTTAAGGTTCTCTACCACAATGTTACATTTTTGGCAACCTCAGAGTCTGTTGCATTCAATATATGTTTTACCGTCCAACCACTTTCCGCCTCAACAATGACCAGTGCATTTGTTAATCCAATATGCTTTGAATTTTATAGTTGAAAAAGGTTCTCTTTTCGCTTTGTAGCAACTACTTGCTATAAAGTTCCGTTGAGTTTTTACAAGTTTAGCAATATCAGCTCTTACCAGTTTTCATGTTTGGTTAATGCTATCAATATTCGATACTTGAATTACAGGAACGATATAAGGACGGTGCCTAATAAATACAAAGGTTTTTGCGCCAGGTTAGGACCTTGCGGAAAAAGTAGATCTTTGCAATGGCTATCGGAATCCACAAAGAAAAAAGAGGGTAGCCACGCATTCTTTCGAAATAATTAACCTTGAATCTCAACAAAAATGCTGACATCAGCATTTTTCTGAAAGTAGAAGGAGAGGATATTTCTTCACAACTTTCTTTAGAATTTGCCTTTACATACAGAAAAGCAAACACATTTATAAAGATCTGAAAACTACATGATAAATGGTAACATAAAAACCGTTTTTGGTATACTTTTATAACAAAATCGTTGCAATGTGATAATAGGTTTTTGGCCTGGGAAAGCACTTCTGTAAAAACCTGGGAAACTCTCTTGCTGCGGGGATCAGTACCGGATCTGTTACAGGGAATTACCTTGAGAGACGTCAACAGCACTCAGAACTTAGGTCCAACGATATCGTTTTAATCCAAGAACACAACCAGAATGCAATCGGAACATAACCGGAATGCAGCCAGAATGTAACCAAAGAATATTTTACAAGGCACGACGATTTAAGCCGAAAGCACAATTCTAAAGGATTACGTAAAGCCATCAAAAATTCTTAACTAAACATTATCTAACACATTTCAGAAAGCTTGACTGGCTATAACGGAATTCAAAGTTTACAAGATTAACAACTTTCAAAACAATACAGGTAGGCAACAGCCTAACAAAAGACTATCGCAGGTAGCAATTACAGTTCAACGCTTATTACAGTTATGATCCTACAACAAACTAGCAGGTGACCATTACGGTCAATGAACTGGAACAGCAACCTGTAACTCAGAAATGCAAAACGAACTAAAACAAATATATCTATGTTGGATTTCTATATTTTCCGACAGCGAAAGCGAATATGTAAAACCAGGAGCCATAATCGGCGACGGAGACCGTAAGCGCGCGCCATTTCAAGTATTGGGGTTGTCCCCATGATATGGGACAATAAGTATGGGTTATTGACCAAGTGTGAAGTCAAGATGGCTGGATATTGGCCAAGTTCTTTTTTTGCGTGTTTATGGACCGAGACGGAGTCGAGGT